CCAGCGGGGGGGCGCGCATCAGCATGGCGCGCGTTTTGCGAAAGATGCGCAGAGGGATGGCCGCGCGCGCGAAGCTGCCCTCGCGGGTCGAAAGTAGACGGTTCGAGGTGCTGAGGGCGGTACGACGCGGAGACCCCATGCCGCCGGTGCTGTTCAACCCGGTGAAGGCGAACCTTCTGCGCGGGGGTGGAGGCGGTCTGGCAGCGGCGTAAGTGTGGCACCCTGCTTGGGCAGTCAGAGCTTGGCGCTTGTCTCGCGCGCGTAGTTTTTGCCGATGACACAGTGTTGCTGGCAAGGTCGTGGCTCTCTTTGAAGCGCGCGGTGCTTGTGCTTCGGAAAGCCTCGGCGACGCGCGGGCCGAGGCTACGCCTGACGAGGCGCAAGGCGCAGACAAGCTGGATTGCCGGAGCGGTGCGAGGAGACGTCGTTCTAGATGGGGCCGTTGTCTGTCACGCGTGCTGCCGGAGGGGGGCAACCTGGAAGTTCTGGGGGCCGCGCCGTCGTTGTCCGACGTCACCGGGGCGGAAGTCGAGCGAGGGACAGGAATCGCGTCGAGGGATTTCTGGGCCATGAAGTCTCTCTTGATGAAACGGCGTGTTTCTGTCTTCAGGCGACTGAAGTTGTTCGACTCTTTTGTCGGGGCTGCGTGCTCTACGGGGCATGTTCCTGGGCGTAGAGAGCTGCGGAATACAGCGCTATCATGTCCACCCAGAACAACGCGCTGCGGCGCGCGCGCGGCTTCCGGCGAGCGCCCGACGCGCGGCGCGACGCGCAAATGCCGGTTGCTGGCCGAGCGCGCCGGCATGCGGGATTGGGCGCAGGCACAGGCGAGACAGAAATGGCCTCGGGCAGGCCACATGGCCCAGGCGCCAGCGACGTCGCGGGCACGGGGCGCAAGGGACAGCGAGTGGACAGATGCCATGCGGGACGAGAGCGCCCGGGAAAAGCGGCCGCCCGGACGGCGTCGGACGAAATGAGAGGACAATTCGCGCCACTTTGCGGCGCAGGCGGGTCTGCGAAAGTGGGCCCGCGCAGCGGGGGGCCGCGCCGAGTGGGCGTCGCGTGCAAAGCCTTTCGAGCGATTCATCCAAGGACGACGCCACCGTCGTTTCTTCGGCGCCCTGCCCCGCGGGGCCTCTTCGGGGCCAGGCCTCTTCACTTTTAATTTCCCTTCGCTGGTGACTAGATGGCGCTGCCCGGGCCATGTCGAGGAAACTCGGGTACATGCTAGTCCTGATTCCAACGTCAAACTACCTTTGACATTGCCCAGCTCGTCTCCTGCTCGTTCCCCATCAGGGTTTCGGGCGAAGCCGGGCGGGGGCGCGGGGGCCGAAGTGGCTTTCTGCTCGACGCTCCGACGCGTCGAGGGTGAGGAAGATTTGTGAAACGCTTGCGTCTTGCAGCAGTTGAATATTACTTCCATCCCATGGTGAACCGACGTGCCCTGCTCTGTCGAGCTCTAAGAGGGAGAGCGCGTCCTGGCATTGCTGTTTGGCCCATGGGTTCGCGCTGGCCGAGAGGCAGCCGTTCGCGTCGAGATCCCTCTCGCGGCGGGGTAGGTGATCCTTCTTGAACTGCATGGCCCCGAAGAGTACGGTGAGCCACTGGTCGCTGTCGTTCCTGCGATTGACTGAATTTTGAATTATGCTGATGCGGCGCGCCCGCATCTCGACGAACGCGGGGCAGATGGCGCAATGCTCAGGGTCTTATCTTGGCCGCCCTGCGACGTGGTAGCTTTCCCCTGCGTCGGCGCTTTGATGTACTTGAGAATGGCGGCGTCGATCCTGCGCGGCTCGGTGTCCTTGAGCTTGTGGGGCCCTATGCCGCTGGCAGCGAGTCCGACGATGTGGTTGTCGAAGATGATGCGCTTGACCTCCAAGGCGCTCGCCTGTGCCAAAACTTATCCATGGTTCACCAGGCGCGCTTGATGTTCTGCGTGCGTCAGTTGATCTCGATGGCGTTGGTGCCAGCACGATGGAAGTGTCCACCGAGGTACGTGGTTGCTCTGGCTGCTCTGAGCACGCGTCCTTTGAGGTGGCGCGCGAGGGCTCGGTTCTCTTTTCGGGTGCGGAGGCCCCCAGCGAATTTCGCTTTGTCTTTGTTCTGGCTTAACCCGTGCGTCTGGAGCTTGCTGTCGAGGGCGGGTTTGCCGCGGCTTGGGATGGCCGCTGCGGTTGTGGCTGTGCCGTTGCTGATTGCGCGGGGCATCGAATTTTCGCCCGCGCAACGTAGAGGTGCATTGAGAGGTCGAGGGTGTCGCGAGCAACGGGGGGGACAGCCGTCTCGCTATTGCCCGAGGGGCTGGTCGTAGACGAAATTGAATGGCACGGGGCCCATGCTGCAGCCTGGCTTGACTCGCGAGCCGAGGGCGAAGTCGCCTTTCTGGTCGAAGCCATCGACCTGCGCGCTTCCACATTGGTAGAGAGGTTGTTGCGATACATCACGGTTGCTTTGTCCGTCCTTGCGCTGGGGAATGCGTTGGCGGCATCCTTGCTGCCCGCGATGGAGCCGAGGTTGGTCCTTTTGGAACGACGGGCTACGATTCTGGAAGGTGCCATAGTATTTCCCTTCGGCGATGTCGCCAGCATCCACGCGCGCGTGGTTGAGGGGGCCAATGCGTAGATCTGCATTGTAACTGACTGCCCGCGCAACGCCCGCAGGGGCATGACGCGCGTAGGATCCTGAGCCCCTTCACCGTAATCTGGCCGCTCATTCCAGCGTGAAGCTCCGGCTGTGATGCGCGTCCAATGGAGCAGAGCCGGCCCTGTGTGTATGGTTGGCAACTCCTTCGAACCACCCCCCTGTGCGTGGGGGCTCGATCAGCTCGTCGTTGAGTCCAGGGCCCGCGGACAGCGCCTTCCTCTTTGTGATCTTGGTCGGCTGCAGGATAAACGATATCTCGGCAGATGGGGGCCACCCGGGGATTGATGCGCGCTTCTTGAAGTACTTGGGCCGCTTCTTGACCCGGCAGAAGACCTTCCAAATTTTGTTTCTGGGCTTCTTGTCTATCGCATCTGGTGCTTGAGCTCGTATGAGAAGTTCTTGGCGTTGCCCTGGAGGATCTGTTTCTCCCTGGCAAGCCTATCGGGCAGGCATCGAAGCCGCCCGTTCTTGCCGCTTAGCACCGCATGTTGGGTCCATTCTGCCGAGCGGGGTCTGGATCTACTGGTTATGCCGTAGTTGCGGTCGCGTTTGCCATGGTTTGTGCCTGCCGCGCACCTGGGTCATCTGCGCACTTCTGCGTGATCTCGTTTAGCCCACGCTGCGAAGCTGGGGTCTCGAGTTCGCGCCGTGTTTTCGGCGATGCGAACTTGCTTCTGCCTCTTGAGAACCCGAGTCAGTAGGTCCAGCGTGTCCTCTATGCCCACTGCGTAGTCACCGCCGATGTATTTGTCCGTAGTTCTGCACGTAGCGTGTGGAATCGTAGCCGTGCTTGCACCTTCTGCTTGCACCTGCCAGGCCTTCTTGATCTTGCGCTCGGAGTCAAGTTGATCATGAGGTTGCCAGTTTGTCGAATTTCCAAGCCGTCCTGTGCAGGTCGGCGAAGATGTTGGGGATGATGTTGTTGGCGCTAGCATTCAATGGGGAGTGGTGGGCGTTGTCTTCGGGTTGTTGTAATTTGCTGGCCGCTTTTTACCAGACACCACACGAGGTAATGTTGCCGCGTAGTCCTTGTGGGACGGCCAGGTAGTCGGGACGGGTGGTTTGCCCCTCGCTGCCGAAGTGGGTTGGGCCCGCTGTCCAGAAAGTATCGAGGAGACACATGTTGTGGACGTCCATCATGTTATAGAACGCTGCAGCTGCTTCGCCTGGCCGCCCGATTCGGTTGGTGTCTCCGAACACTTTGGTGATATCCGCTGCGATGAGGCCGTCTTCGCCGAAGTGGCCATTGAGGTCTAGGCCGATGAGTGGCGTTCTTCTCGTAGGTGTAGCGCCGAGCATGTTTCCACTTGAGTGTATCGCTGATGGCCTTGACCCACCGGATGCGCTTGCCAGCCAGGCCAGACCTGAGAGGAATGTTTGCCACGACGAAGATGAAGTCCAGCCCGCTGCGCTTGATACGTAGGGCACCTGCCCGGCTTTGAAATTGCTTGGGCGGGCTGACGACTTCGACGATGCTGTTCGGGCGGGTGCGCTTTCCGACCAGGGTGGCAGCTCCCGCGTGGCTTTTGGTCAAGGGGCCGCTGGCGCAGCCCCGGGTGCATTCGTGGTGCTTGAAGGTGTGGAGCTGGTCCGCCTCGCTGGGCGGGTCGTGTTGCCGCCGTCGTGTCGCTGGCAGCACGATCAGGTCCAGGGCGCTGCTGCCTGCGAGATCTTCAGACAGCGGTGCGGCGCGACCACGGAGAGCGGGATGTAGACGCCACATATCCGGAACGTCTTCCAGATCGTGAACATGAATCACCGGAAGGCTAGCCGAGCTTGTGACATGAACGCGCCCCAGAGGGGCGGAAACTGCTCCACGCGAGATGCCTGCTGGGACGCTGAGAATGCGGCATGACCAGGAAATGGCGGTTGAGGAGGAAGAGGGCGAGGAGGAGGAGGAGGAGGAGGAGGAGGAGGAGGAGGCGGAAGAGGAAGAGGAGGATGAGGAGGAAGAGGAAGAAGAGGATGAGGAGGAGGAAGAGGAGGAAGAGGAGGAGGAGGAGGAGGAAAAGGAGGACGGGAGGAGGACGGGAGGAGGAGGAGGACGGGAGGAGGACGGGAGGAAAACAAGAGGAAAGAGAGAAGGCCAGGAGTTGGTGGAGCCGTCGGGGGTTATGAGTCGATGCCTGCACACACACACACACATCAGGAGGACAGAAAGAGGAGGAGAGGGATGAGGCGGAGGTGGAGGAGGAGGAGAAGGAGGATGAGGAGGAGGAGGAATGTCGGGATTTTGAACATGTTCGGTTTTCCTTGGGGCTTCCTGAGGACTCCAAGGGCCTCAAGGAAACCTCCAGAAGGTGTTGGAGGGCTCCAGACATCTGGAGACCTCCATGAGGGGTTGCTTACCTTCCAAGGTGCCCCGTCCTTGGACATCAACTGTGTGGTTGACGCGCTCCAGGAGCAGAAAGCAATGCTCGCCCAGATCCTCGAAAGGCTACCACCTGCTCGAGGAGACCAGCACGCGAGGTTCGGGCCCCGCATCATGGACTCTCACGAGGTTGCTCGAAGCGAGGTGGTGCAGGTGGAGCTTGAATCGAAGAGCACCTGTGGTTCAGGCGGAGAACATGCTGCTCTGGCCGACGGCGTGCGGGCGGAGACCCCGCCCCAGAATCCTGGGCCGCTCCAGGCAATCGTGTCCACTGGCATTCGACCCATCCCGCCACCGTGCACGGGTTGTAAGGCAGATGCCTTACGAGGCCCCCTTTGGCCCGTTCCGGGGCGCTCCTGGGGTCGAACAGAAAGTCACGCGGGAAGACGCGCCGGGGCGCGGGAGGCACGCTGGGAGCCCCGGGAGATCGGTGAATTCGGGGTCTGGGCTCTGTCATTGCGCAGCACTGGGGACAGGACTACGGAGGACTTGAGGACACTCCAACTCGTGCCTCGCGGCACGGTGGCGGACACAATGTGGATGATTTTTTAAAACGTCGCCGAAACAGCGCTGAGCACAGGCCAAGGAATCGCATGAGCACCTCAATCTACAGGGTGGTCAGGACGCCTTTATTTGAATTACTGTTCGGAGGACTGATTCTTCTCAACACGATAGTCATGGGACTCGAAGAGCAGTGGAGCGGTGCTCAGGTGGGATACACGCTTGGATTCTACACGTTCTATGGCTCTGAACAGATGGGGGAGGATGCTCCAATCATGAGTGCCGATAGTCTTTTCCTTGCTGCTGAAATTACATTCGCGATCCTATTTACCATCGAGGTGTTCTTGAGGATTGCAGCATCCGGTTTCTTGTTTTTTTCAAGTCCATCAGCATGTTTCGACCTTGCCGTAGTGGTGGCCTCGGACATGAGCATCATATTCAGCAGTATCGATTTATCCATCAACATACAGATTCTGCGCTTGCTCCGGGCTGTAAAGCTGCTCCGGCTGGTGAAGCTCATGAGAACCGTTGAAGGGTTCGACCCCCTCCACATCATGATGACGGCACTCGGCGCCTCTGCCTGGGCCCTCTGCTGGGCTATTGTTCTCCTGGTGCTGATTCAGACCTTTGTCGCCATGATCGTCACGCACGTGTTCCGTCTGGCATACTTGCAGGAGTCCTCGAGCCTGTCTGATGATGCGCAACTGGAGCTCTTCGCATATTTTGGGACGTTCTCGCGCTCGATGCTGTCGCTCTTCGAGCTGTCGTTGGCAAACTGGCCGCCAATTTGCCGCTGGCTCATGGAAAACCTGCACGAGTCGTTCATGCTATTTGCACTGACGTTCAAGCTCATGTAGTGGCCTTCGGCGGTCAAAGACGGCACCATGCCTGCGTCGTGGGCACGAGGCTTTGGGAGGCCTCCTGGTTTCTATTCGTAGGCCTTTGGGGGGCCGCTTGGACGCATCTCATGCGCCTTGGGGGGCTCTTGGGGGCCTCTCGGAACCTCTTGAGAAAGTTTCTTGGAAACTTGGTGGTGGTCTCGTGAGGCATCTTGGGGTGGAAGGCTCCCGGGGCCCCTTCGAGTCTGGGGTGAAGTCTCTCTCATGGTAGCGTGTTCAGTTCGTGGCTCAGGTCGGATACAAGGATTTGTTCAGGAGTTCGTTCCTCGGGCGAGCAGTCCACCGGTTTCCCGAGGATTCTGGTGATGTCGTGAGGGATTCCGTGTGTCTCCCCTTGGGGGTCCCTGGGGTTTCTTGAGGACTTCGTTTCGCTTCCGCAGGGGGTCTTTTCTGGCGGCCTGGGGATCTTCCGAGGCTTCCAGTACGATTCAGCGGCGTCTAAGACCGAGTGAGACCTCGGTCCCAGTGCCAGGCGTAGACTGGTGGGGCGCGCCAGAGTAGTAAGAGCAGGGGCTCATGGGCATCCAAACGAGACTGTCTCCTAAGCTCCTCCAGGGTTTCGTCAGAGGCCCACAGATCATCCCTCAGCTTGTTTATGAACTCCTCACTCTAGCATCTTGGGAAGTCCGTCTGACATCCTGCGGAAGTAATCCTTACACATCTTGCCGGGATCCTCAGGTTTTACATGAGGTGCCCCTCACCATTGTTTGAGGGCCATGTGGTGCCTCTAAGGGGTCCTTGGGGCTCCTGGAAGGTTTCGTGGGGTCTTTCAGGACTTCCTTGGGCGTCCTTGAGAGTGCTTGAGGATTCGTTAGGGCTCCTTGAGGATTCCTGGTGGATCCCCTCGGGCTCCTCAGAGCTTTCATCACAATTCCGTGTCACGTAATTACCTGAACACGTGCTTGGGATTCTTTCGGTTTCCTTGGGAGCCTTCGAGGCGCTCCTACATAGTTCCCCAGAGTCTTCTGCAGCCCTTGGAGAGGCCTCCTAAAAGGCCTCCTGGACGAGCTCTCCTGCGGACAGTTCCCTAGAGCCTCTTATAGCGGCTCCCAGGGAGGCTTCCAGACTGTCTTGACGATAGGCTTCTGGAGAACCTCCCAGATAGGCTTCGAGAGCCTCCATGCGAGGCTTCCAGGCAGGCTCCCAGCGAGGTTCCCCAGCGTCCCGAAGGGGCTCTTACAGAGGCCCCCAGGAGTCCCCCCCTACAGAGGCTCCGAGAGAGGCCTCCCTTGGAGCCTGTGAGAAGCGCTCCCGGAAAGGCCAGACACAGAGAGGCCCCCAGAGAGCCTCCCGACGGGCTTCCAGAGAGGCCCCCCTGAAGTCTTCCCCGGAGGCCCAAGGTATCTGATGGGGGCACGCGCAGGCGGATGAGGATGAGCCCGTATCCTTTACGAGGAGCCCGCGAGTCCATCCGATCGAAAACCTCACTCAACCCCGTGCGGTCAGGATTCCGACGTGAGAAACTCATTCGGCTCTGGAGGGGCGTTGGGTGTCTGGCTGATCCTAAGTTCTCGGTCGGGAAGCCCGGCCGTGGCCGAGGCTCCTCGAGGCCAGGAACGCCCGTTAGTTGTTTTGCTTGGCGCTCCGAATGCTAGCGAGAAGGAGGCTTCCTCCCTGCTCACTCCTCCCTCATCCCCAATCCCTCCCCTCTCCTAACCCCCCTCCTCCCCCTTCCCTCCTCTCTCCTTCAACCTTTCCTCCCCTGCCCTCCTCCTCCACCTCCTCCTCCTCCTCCGCCCTCTTCCCTCCTCTCTCCTTTGCCCTCCCACTCGTGTTCCCTCCTCCCTCCCTCCCTCCGTAACCCCTTCACACCCACAATGGTCGTAGCCAGCGTCCTGGGATCACGCTCGGAAGACCAGGCAGGCGGCCGTCAGCTTCATGCCGGAATCTTGTCCCAAGGCCCCCCCCCGCTCACTTTGAACACCCTGGCAGAAGAGGTGGGGGCATCGGCAAACCCTAACTATCCTAATTTCCTTCTCCCCCCCCTCCCCCACTCCCTCAATGGTTTTACCCAAAGTCCTGGGATCTCGTTCGGGAGACCAAGCAGGCGGCCGTCAGCTCCCTGCCGGAATCTTGTCCCAAGTCCCCCCCCGCTCACATCGAACCCACTAGCAGAAGAGGTTGGGGTCATCGCCGAACCCGAACTGTCCAACTCGTTGGCCTCCTTCCGTAGCCCTACCCCATCCGAAGTCCCTGAGGTGTTTTGATAGAAATATTATAACTACGGAACTGAGAATTCGACAGGCTGACGGCAAAACCTGCTGCAGGTGCAGATAATAGAGTTCTTTAGTTTGCTTTCTGCTTCAGTTAAGTGCACCCGATCGGAGTTCCTGTCCGAATCCCAAACCCAATTCCCAGGGCTCCCTTCGGAAACCGTTTTCAGCTGCCTGCGGCAGGTCCCGCCGCCCTGCCGTCGCAGCATTTTGTGTGGCGACGATTCGAGCACCGCCCAGGAGGCCGTGCAGTGCGACACCCCTCGTTTCTGTTCCTCGAGGGGCTCTCGTGGGGACTGCCTGACCTGGGCAGTATTGGGACCATCTTGGGATCCTGTGGGGCCCTCTTGGGTTGTCTTGGGGCTTTCCTCTGGCCGTTTTGGTGCCGTCTTAGGCCGTCTTGGTCTCCCATCGGCCTCTTGGGAAGTCTCGTGGGGCTGTCTTGGGTTTTTTTTGTCGCCCTTCGGGGCTGTCTAGTGGCTAAGGAGTCAAGCACAAACGAGTCAAACGTTCTTAAGGATTTCTCATGTGTTCAGATGAGGCTGGCTTTTCTGGAAGGTATCGCTGCTCGCTCTTCGATTACTTACAGGCCGTCTGGGGCGCCTTTGACGCCTTTGGGGGTCTTCTTGGGGGGTGTAGGGTGCCTGTTGAAGCGAGGTCACTCTAAAGTGATCTGGGACACGGGCGAGAGATAGCGAGCGTTTGTCTGCGGCCTTTTGTGTTAAAGCGGCCGGCCGCCAACATATGGCTGCGCCTCATTGCGAGGCATACTACTTGCCATCGAGACCGAAAACGTCCTTCGCTTGAGGTGGCCCGCCGCTCCCGCGACGACCTCTTCCGACTGGGACTATCGCTACTACGATACAACAGAGCTGGAGCTGCGCTTCGCCTAAGGCGAAGCTTCTGGACGGGCCGACTGGCCCCCTTTCAAACTTGGTAGTGGAGCAGGCCTATGGTGGTCAGCTCTCGCTTTACTCTTCACCACCCACGGCACTATCTGGTGGACTACTGACATGGTGGAACATCAGAATGCAGTGGGTCTGCGCGGAGGAATGTACATGACTACGCACAACCGCAAGGACACATGCAGTGCTACCTCTGCTCTCGCGGAGGCCTCTTACTCGAGTCTTACATCCCTGCGCTACTACACCTGAAGTCCACCCACGCACTCCACTTGGAAGCTTTTTCGCGGACGCCATGCATGGCAACGTGCGATATGATATCGCGCCGCCTCCCCCCCCACGCAGGCTCACAACAAAACGCCACAAACCTCAGCCACCAACATCCGACCACGACCTACGGGGCCATTGGATTAGTATTATGATCTTTGGTCCCATGTAGGTTGCTACCGGGTGTGCTGTGGGAGACATGTGTGGCGGAGACGACGCAAGAACAACGGGCCCCCACTGGGGCCCGGCCAGCCAAGTACCTTTTCCGTGAATTTGTTTGAGATGTACATGCCTGGATCGTGACCACAGACACTATGACGCCCTCCCAACAAGTTGCAGCACTGCAGCGTGGACTGGGAGGCCTCGCGCGGAACATAGCCATGAGAGGTCCACCAGCAGTTATTTATTTTTGGCGTCAACATCGGTGGCCGTCATACTGATGGTGTCACCTACATCATGTTCCTCCATAGCACGATGTTTGAAAACTTAGAGGAGGAACGTCAACTTAACCCGATAACGGCTATCATCGACTTCCGAGTCCACACGGGAGAACGGATCGACCAGACATTGGCGCGCTTCGAGATAGCCCGCTACGAGGCTGAAATGGCAGTCTTTGACATCCCCAACTTCCAAATCCGAATTGCCATGTTGTTCGGAGCCTTAGGAGTGGGGACGTCGCGTGCACAACAAATCCCTACAGCCACTCAACCACCAAATTCCGAGGAATCAACAGCAATTTGATTCTCTGCTTGAACGCATGAGGTCATATGCTCACATCGCTGAGCGAACCCCCGGCAATATTGGTGGCATCTTCAGCCACGGTCACCGCGCCGAAACTCTTCATGCTGAAGCCAAATGCAGGGCAACGCGCTACAAACGTCTGGAATGAAGATCCGCAGCCAGCGGCGACCGCACTATTAGCCCAAAGTGGTGGTCCGGCTGCGGGGTCGCAAGACTCCTGGGCTAGATATCAGGGGCCGTCGGCAGCGGAGGCCCCCGCACAAACCACTTCCTTTGCAGTCTCAGCGGGACAACCCGTTGAATCTCACTTCGACTCCGGCACTGACGCCGACGCGTCATCAGACGACGAAGCGACTGCCCTAGATGACCCCGACATGCCCACGTGTCTTACGGAAGAACAACAGGCCCAATGGTTGTTTCTAGGAGATCAAGAACATAAGCGCAGATGGAGACGATTTATGAAGAAGCCAGTTCGTAAGGCACGACGTACTACCTGACGGGCACTTAGGGGAAAGGGTAAGGGTCGAGGCAAGGGTAGGGGCTGACGACGGCGAATGCATAGCAGAGGTATGGTAGCGTTCCTTGCATCTCTTACTAGACCACAGCATGAAGAATTATTTCTGGGCGGAGGCAGCGGTCGCAGGCACGCCCCAGGAAAACGTAAGGGACGTCGGGGCAACCCGAAAGATGCCAACGGTAAAACAATTGAACGTGCTGTCTGCCATAGCACGCAACATTTCCGCCGTGAATGCCCCCGAGGCGATGGGGGAGGCAGGGGTCCGTCAATAAATTTGGCTCAAACCGATTCGGACATGCAGTATGTCGATTGGGAAAC